TTTTCCAAGTGCAATGAGTCATTCACTTATCGCAAATCTAAACTACGTTGGTTTGATCCCATCAAGGTGCGTAGGCAATCTAGCATCCTAATAGACGCAATGACAACCAAATTTGAATAACTGGCTACATCAACCAAATTCCCAAAAATCAAATATCCATCTCGACACAAATCAATTCCGAACTACGTTTGTTTGATCCCTTCAAAAAGGTACGTAGGCAATCTAGAAACTCAATCTAGATGCAACCGCCCAAATCTTAAATCCAAACAAAATCCTTGGTTTATTCTTAACCAAATTCACCCCAAACACAATTCAAAATCGAATCCCTGATTTATTCAGCTAATTCACTCAATACAATTCAAATCAAATTTTCCTTGCAATGAGTAATTTATTCATTGCAATTCTTTGAACTACTAGTGGTTTGATTCTCGCAAGGGATACGTAGGCACCCTAAGGTTCGAATTAGGGGCAGCCGCAAAACCAAACGCACACGTTCTGTTTTTTTATGATGGAATTAACACCCTTGAAGCAAAGGATTGTAATTAAGAAATACCGCGTCTCGAATGGGTCGAACCTAAAATAATAAAACCCCATTATTTAATTAGTGGTGGTGAAATTATGTTAGGAGGTTCACATTTTTCTTCAAAATTTATAATATGAATTAATATTCATGATGACACACTTCATAACATAACCAAAGACAATCGTTGCTAAATCCATGTTTTTTTGTAGTATATATACTTGGATTGTTATATGATAAACAAAAATACTACTACAAAAAACAAGTACATCCCTCTTTTTTGTGTGGTTTCGCTATTTTCTTTCTTCCTAAGGCTTGTGGTTCTGAATTAATGTATCGAGCCCATTTGCAGTCTAACCAATTTGATTAATATGGTAAATGCAGAAGAGAATTCCTTTTGTTGAATTTCTTTCTTTTCCTTTTTGGTTTTATTCCTTTTAAACCTGAGGTCACTAGAAAAAAACCTGCAAATATGGGAAATGTAGAACAAGTACATCCCTCTTTTTAGTGTTGTTTCACTCTTTTGAACTTTTTCCATATTAATTAAGTTGCACTTGGATGAAGGGGGGGATTTGGATTTGAGAACTAGGCTAAATTTGCTATAAAATGAATATGCTAAATTTCCATATTAATTAACTTTTTCCATATTAGATTGAATGCATTTGAAATAATTAGATATAGTGTAATCAAAATGAATATGAAATGACTATATCCAAAGAATCATTTTAAATTCACTTGTTTTCTTATTTCTTTCTTATTCAACTCTTGATGTATATACATTGATTGTTATACAATAAACAAAAAATTTTACCTTATAATGTCATCTAAATCCATAGATTTGGAATACCGCCATTCAAATGGAATCTCTTAAAATTGTTTCCTTTTTCTTTTCTTTTTTCTTCTTCTGGCAAATATTACTTCTTGTTTAAAATCCTGTGTGCCTCAGTTTCCATCCCATCAAACAAGTTCTTCTCTAGAAACCCATCTCTATTTTTCTCTTTTTCTCTCAAAAATCTCAAGCACAAGTTTTAGCACAAAGGGAGGCATCAATGGCCAGTTGGGTTGCAGTACTTAGTGTTGTTTGGGTGAGCATAGTGATTGCATGGGCATGGAGGGTGCTGAATTGGATGTGGTTGAGGCCAAAGAAACTAGAAAGATGCTTGAGGGAGCAAGGCTTTACAGGCAATTCTTACAGGCTTTTGTTTGGAGACACCAAGGATAGCTCAATGATGCTGCGACAAGCACAATCCAAACCCATGAAACTCTCCACCTCCCATGATATAGCGCCACGTGTCATGCCATTTGTCCATCAAATTGTGAACACTCATGGTATGCCAAATACTTATATTAATTCCTATAACCTTTCTACCTATCCATCCATGTATGTATGTTGTATGTATGTGTAATCTTCTTTATAAGTTTTTATCTGAATAGTTTTTTTGTTTTTTTTAAACCAAAAAAATGCAGGTAGGAATTCTTTTGTTTGGATGGGCCCCATGCCAAAGGTGAACATCATGAACCCAGAAGATTTGAAAGAAATCTTCAACAACCGTCAAAATTTTCAGAGGCCATCAGCAAACCCTCTTATCAAGTTGCTAGTACAGGGCCTTCTACACATTGAAGATGAGAAATGGGCTAAACACAGAAAGATTATCAAGCCAGCATTCCATTTAGAGAAGCTAAAGGTACTCACTCGCCAACATTCATTTATATTTATGGAGATTTAATTAGCAATTGTGTCCACTATTTTTCCAAAATGTATATATCTCGATAATTTTTGGATTTCTTTTGCCCTAAATTTTTCCTTGTTTGGTATATAGGGGATGTTACCAACATTTTACCAAAGCTGTAGCGACATGATTAACGAGTGGAAGAGGTTGGTGTCCAAAGATGGTTCATGTGAGTTAGATGTGTGGCCGTGTCTTAAAAATTTGTCGGCCGATGTGATTGCTCGGGCTGCATTTGGAAGTAGCTATCAAGAGGGAAGAAAAATATTTCAGCTCCTACAACAGCAAGATAAAAAAATTTCCTTAGTCGTCCGAAGTGTTTACATTCCAGGATGGAGGTAAGTTTAAATACTCTTTTATTTAAAGTAGTTGTTCATCATGTCGTCACAAAACCATTGATCTCGTACGACTTTAACTGGGTGCAGGTTTCTACCAACCAAGCATAACAGGACGATGAAGGAAATAAATAAAGAAATAAATGTGTTGCTCAAGGGTATTATAAATAAAAGAGAAGAGGAAATTAAGTTGGGTGAAGACAATAAAGATGACTTGTTAGGTATACTTATGGAGAGCAACTTGAAGGAAATTCGAGAACATGGGAACAAGACAAACACTGGAATGAGTATTCAAGATGTAATTGAGGAGTGTAGGTTGTTTTACTTGGCTGGCTCAGAGAGCACTTCTACGCTGCTTGTTTGGGCAATGATTTTGCTGGGTCAAAACCAGAATTGGCAAGCTCGTGCAAGGGAAGAGGTCTTGCAAGCCTTTGACAGCAACCCACCAAGCTTTAATGCCCTAAGCCAACTAAAAGTTGTAAGTATATATTTTTAGTATACTCTCTTGCTATATATATTGGTAATTAGAAACCTTGACTCTATAAAATGTCTCAGGTGACCATGGTTTTACTTGAAGTTCTTCGATTATACCCAGCAGGCGTTGAGCTTCCACGAACCACTTGCAAGAAAACACAGCTTGGAAAATTCTTATTGCCGGCCGGAGTCCTTGTCTCCTTACACATAATGTTTGTTCACCATGACAAAGAATTGTGGGGTGAGGATGCAGATGAGTTCAAGCCAGAGAGGTTTTCAGAAGGAATTTCAAAGGCAACAAAGAACCAATTTGCATACTTCCCTTTTGGTGCCGGTCCGAGGATTTGCATTGGACAGAACTTTGCTATGCAGGAAGCAAAATTGGCCTTGGCATTGATTCTGCAACACTTTACCTTTGATCTCTCTCCATCCTATGCTCATGCTCCTACGACACAAGGAAACCTTCTTCAACCTCAATATGGTGCTCATATCATTTTACGTAAACGCTGATTAGTTCTAAATGGTATATATTGTTGACAATAAGTTAAAAATTATAAGGACACATGGCTCGACATATTAACCATGTAATTCTCGTGCCTTGTCTTTTGTTCGTTTTTAGAATTGAAATATTGTATTGTCAAAAAATTCACAATGAGTACAATTGTAGAATTCAAAAACAAAATAAAAAACTTGGTCTACGAAAACACAAAACACCCCCTATGAATACCCAAAGAATTCATCATAAAGAAATGTATTGAATTCTCAGCCCTTAATCAGAGAAAAACTTACATGTAACAGGGATGCCACTATGGAGGTATCCAAAGCCTATCACACATTGTCATATCGGAAAAATAAAAACTACCAGAATTTACTGTTTGCGCGACGAAGACAAATTTGTCGCGCAAAGAGCAAAGCAGTCGCACGAATACCAGCGCGACAGTAATCGCGTCACGCAAACTCAGTCGCGCAAAGATCGTAAAGAAAGCCTTTGCGCGACAAAATTTGGGTCATTTCGTCACGCAACACACTTCGTTGCACCAACAGTTCAGGGACGGCTACTGTTCGTCGCGCAAAACTTTTGCGCGACGAAATCATAAGCATCGCAAAAAAAACAGTACGACGATTTACCGTCGTCGCACAGACATTTGTGAGGAGGCATAAGAATCGTCGCGCAGATGTTTTGCGCGACGAAATAAAACTTGTCGCACAAACATGGTGCGATGATGGACTTTTGCCGCGCAAATACAGGAGCGACAAAATTATGGTCGTCGCGTTTCCTTTACGGGACGACAAATTTCGTCGCGCAAAATACCGTCTCGCAAGTACAAAAATATAGTAGTGACCCCCTATGAATACCCAAAGAATTCGTCATAAAGAAATGTATTGAATTCTCAACCCTTAATAAGAGAAAAACTTACATGTAACAGGGATGCCACTATGGAGGTATCCAAAGCCTATCACACATTGTCATATCGGAAAAATAAAATGCATGACACTAGGCGATTGACTTGAGATAGCGCTACAATTGTATCCCGATATAAGTAAGTTTTATTCCTTAATTAGGCAATTGACCAAAATCCCGAAGAACAAAACAATCAAAGTCACATCAATCCGAAAATCTTCAAAGTCAAAAGTCTCAATCTAGTACTCTCTTTTTTCTTCCGTTGGTGTCAAAATATATACGTGCCTTAATAGAAGGCCAAGAAGCAAAACAAACAGAGAGAAAGTTCTATTATACAACAATGGATGAAATATATTTATTTATTTGGGTCTTAGAATTATTCTTATTTACGACTTCCTTCTTGAAAGGGTATATATAGAAACCATCAGAGAACGTTACAAAAGAACCTGCATGTAGGAACTCAGTCATTAAAATCTTCTCAGGGAAAATCACATTGAACAAAACCTTGGGGTAAGAAAAAGAGTGTCACACATGCATTGGCCATGATCTCATTTCTTGATGATGATTTGAAAGTTACCAAGGAGAATGATGCTGATACAATCAACAAAGCTACCTCCCTGGTGTGTACACATTTTAATACGTACCAACTTCGTCACTTGGCACTTTATATATTTATTCCTGTTAATGAAACTACAACTTTCGTTTAACTCTGATTAGTACATTCATACAAGTTGTGTTAATTTTATATAAAACAATCAGTTTAAACTTTGATTCAATCATATGACTTTAATTGATAATAGGGTAAATATATACTAATCCGAAAAATCTTTTTAACAACATGCAAAGCAAGGGGCTTGTAGCTCAACTTATTATGAGCAGTTACCCTTGAGGTCCTATATTCGGATCTCCATACCATCAATATCGCTTGTAATAAAAACAAGAAAAAAAAACAACATGCAAGGGACATTGCTAAATAGAATAGAAAAAGTTTTACTTCTGTCTCTTAAGGCTTTTACTGGCGCTTATGTGCTGTCAATATTGTCACTTAGTTTTTTCGTGCAGAACTTAGTAAATCCGCGTAATTCGATTCTCTTTCCTATAAGCGTGGCTTTTAATTCTCAGCCCAATCACTAAACCGTTGGATACACAAAATCTAAAGCCTTCATCTACCCAAGGTAAGTTTGTGTACTTGTTTCGCAGGCTCTTCTCTTAGCAGGTGTAGATGTAACTACAGGTACATTGACATGGGCACTCTGTTTACTTCTCAACAACCCTGAAACCCTAAAAAGGGCCCAAGAAGAATTAGACCAAAATGTTGGAAGAGAGAGGCAAGTTAAGGAATCTGACCTCGACAACTTGGTCTATGTCCACGCGGTTCTCAAAGAAGCAATGCGTTTATACCCTCCCGGACCACTTGTAATGGCCCATGTGTCCAGAGAAGATTGCATTGTAGGAGGCTACCATATCCCAGCAAAGACTCCTGTCTTCGTCAACATTGGAAAGATCCAACTAGATCCAAAGCTGTGGCCTGAACCAAATGAGTTCCGGCCTGAACGATTTCTAACAACCCACAACAACATTGATGTTAGAGGTCAGGATTTTGAGTTGCTACCATTTAGCAGTGAAAGAAGAATGTGTACAGGGGTATCTATGGCCATGAAGATGATGCCGTTGGCACTTGCTTCTTTGCTTCATGGGTTTGAAATTGCGACCCCAGGGGATGAGCCTGTTGACATGCGTGAGACAATGGAGTTGACTAACCATAAATCCACCCTTCTTGAAGTCCTTGTCACTCCACGCCTTCGTGCTCAACTATATGAGCATCATAAATAAAGCAAACTACTATGTTATTATGTGGGATGGAAGTTACATGAAGTTGATAGGGACTGTCATGAAATAGTGAGATGCACTAGATGTATCGTTACACAGTGTCCATTCCAATCAATAAATTGTTTTATTTTCAGTGTCATTTTGGGTTTTTCAATTTTAACATTGAAGTATTTGCCTGTTTTGAAAATGTTGCAATGTGATTCTAACGCTACTGATCGTCATGAAATGCGTCTTCAACAGGTCACACTTGAGACCCAATATTATTTGCTTTGGTGGACAATTACTTAAAGATTCTAAACTTTAATCCCAAATAAGATATTAAATTAAATAAAAGCCTTATCAGCCCTAAACCCATGCTTTCATCTCCAAGTCTCTCAATGCATGAGCCCAACAACTAAAGGTCAGAGCAATCGTAAATCCTCAAAGTTGAAAGGTCCAAATCGAGCACTCTTCTTTTTCTTTTTTGATTTGTGTGAAAATACTTACCTTATTATGATTCTTGATTTCTTTTGTTTACTAACACATAATGAATAAATAATTCTAGGAGTTTTGGTATGCTGTGAGACGCTTTGACAAGGTGTTTGAGTCGAGAGTATTTGAAGGTTGTTCAAATAAGTTGTTTGTTCTTGAGAGAAAATTGGATGTTCTTGGATCAGATCTTGTATTTTTATTTATAGCCTCTTTGGTTCTTGTCTTTGCACATTCGGTAAAAAAATGCTTGTAGACTAGTGGTTTCATATATTCGAACTCTTGTAACATCGTAGTAATGTGTGGTTGAAAAACCCCATCCTCACTAGTTTAGACTATCGTTTGCACTTTTTAAAAAATAAAATAAAATTTGAATGATACAGAGGGACAGTGCACGTGGCTCAATTCAGATTTACTTTTCACGTCCAAATACACAAAAATAATGATCTACCAAACTTATTTTATGCTCGCTTCATGCCAATGTAATGGGGCCCAATGGGTGTCATTATGCGTTAGCTTTTAGAACATGATGTAAACGTTACAGGAAAGCTAAAGTGCATGAAATGCGTGAAATAAACATGCGTGAAATAAATTAAGCACACATTTCTTAACATTGTTGCGGAATTATCATTTCCTTGTTGTTTTGGATTAAATTATTATTATAT